TTGTTTTTTTTACTAAAACATTGTTTTTATTTTGAATAATTTTTTTTGGAAAAATACTCATTTTGGTCCCTTAACTATAGGTCACAATTCACTTTGATCCCTTATCCTTTTTTGGTGCCAAAATGGTCCCTTAAGTTTCAAAATGCAACCATGTTATTCCTTCCATTAGTGAAATACAAAAAACAGACTCCAGGTGGCAGTTGTCATGCTTGAAGTGGCTTGTTGGAGGCAACATGGCAGAGAATAAGGACATACAATCTCCCAAAGCTCAAGATAGCATATGCATGTTCTGTTTGCCCAAAATGAAAGCCAAAGGAAAGAGGAAGAGGCTTGCGAAGCTTGAGAAGGTGATTCCGTATGTGATTACTTTTCAGGCATGTTATTCTTATTTTGTCTTCGTAACTGAATATTTGTTATGGGATTCTGAATATTTGTTATGGGATTTCTGAGATTTAGGTTTAATGGATGAATTTCTGAAACTCGTAATCTACCATAATGGTGAGTTCGTTGATCTAGAGCGTATTGTCTATGAAGGAGGACTGGTATCTGAATTGTCAGTATATGTTGATAGGTGGAGTTACTTCGAGTTAGTTGGTGTATCGAAAGGCTTAGGTTATACGAACAATATAGAGAAAATGTATTACAAAGACCCACAATTTGGGATGAATGAACTATTTGATGATAAAGGTGCCCTAGAAATTGCAGACCTATACAGTGTGCACCATATTGTTCATGTTTACATTCAACACAGTTTGTCTCAATCTGAGTATTGTGATGGTCCTGTTGAGGAGCCTGAGAATATTGTAGATGAGATTAGCAAGTTGCATGATGACATTGGAGGAAAGTTAAAGGAGACTGTTGTTGGTGTGAATAAACTTAATGATGTATTGAATGATCCAAGTGTTATTGTGGAACAAAGTAATGCTGGATTGAATGATGAAAATGTATGGGTGGAAGAAACAAATGTTGAAGTGGAGCCAAATACTGATGGTCAGGTGCATGATGAATCCAATTCTGATGACAACGAGGATGAGAGTTACCAGTATGATAGTGTCCTAGAAGTAGCCTTTGAAGATGAATCTGATGGTTATGAGGACATTGATGAAAATGAAATTGCAGACCTGACTTTGTATGACAACAATAAAATATCAAAAGGAAAAGGAAAAGGAAAATGCAGCAAAGATACAAAGCAATATAAAGGGAATGACAGTGACAATGAGGATCTTCAAAGTGGTTGTGACAGTGATGACAGTAGTGGGGTTAAAAGGAATAAATATCCAATTTTCAAAGAGATAAAAGATATGGACAATTATAAATGGGAATTAGGAATGTATTTTACTTCAAAGGATGACATTAAGGAAGCAGTTGCCTCATATGTTGTTCAAAATGGAAGAGCCCTTAAGATCATACAAAATGATAAGAAAAGGGTGAGTGTGAGATGTAAGGAAGGTTGTGAGTGGGAGGTTTATTTTGCCAAGTTATTAAATGAGGAAACCTGGCAAATAAGGAAAGTAATTGACAATCATAACTGCAGCAAAGAGTATAATGTGAGGATGTTAAGCACAAAGTGGTTGAGCAAGAGGATTCAGAATGCATTGAAAAACAACCCTAGGTTGAAGGTCCAAAATATTAAAGAAAAGGCATTGAGGAAGTAGAATGTAGGTGTAAACAAGACTAAAGCAATAAGAGCAAGAGTGGTTGCAAGGAATAGGGTTGATGGTTCCTTTTTGGGTGATTACACTAGGATATATGACTATTGTCATGAACTGCTAAGAGCCAATCCCAAATTTCTTTCCATAATTCTTCTCAGTGGTTGCCCTACGAAGAACACCGTTGTCTCCGCAACGACAAAGTGGTGCAATTCGCGAGCTACTGTATACACATGACCCAACACTTTCAGATTGACAGAGGTTCGTTAGGGAAGATGAATGCTTCGTATTCATGGAGAAAGGACCGAAGATGAAGAAAGTACAGAAAATTTTGGGAAGGAGAATATTAAGAAAATTTTGTGAAAGAGATTTTGAAGCAATGTGAAATACACATTCTGCATATAAAGAAGATGAAGAAATCTGTCAGCTCACCTGCCACCTCACGCGAATAAACAGACGTTAGAGGTCAATTAACGGAAGGACTAACGTGATTGCATTTTGAAACTTAAGGGACCATTTTGGCACAAAAAAAAAGATAAGGGACCAAAGTGAACCATGACCTATAGTTAATGGACCAAAATGAGTATTTTGCCAAAAAAATTTTGTTATGAATATAATGTGAACTTATGAATTTTAGTTATGATTTTTAATTTATTTTCTTTATATATAATTATATTTGGGTTATATATATATATATATATATATATATATATATATATATATATATATATATATATATATATATATATATATATATATATATATATATATATATATATATATATATATATATATATATATATATATATATATATATATATATATATATATATATATATATATATATATATATATATATATATATATATATATATATATATATATATATATAATCAATAGTAGAATCTTATTATGGTTCATTCGCTATCTTATGACTTCGGTTGTCATGAGAAAATTCTATATAACTATACATATGCATTTTAGTTAAATATGATAGATATTTATTTTAAAGACATTAAACATGTATATGACGGATTTTGACTGAAAATTAATTTTATATATTTCTCTAATTATATCTTTTTTAGGATCATTTAAAAAATAATGACATTAAGGGAAAAAAAGTCAATTTATTAGCAGTTACCAATGTATTAAATTGTTATTATTAAATTGGAAACTAAAGCATATTATAATTTATGATTATACAATAAATTAAATTTCGCATGTAATAATTTTTTTTATGCAAATCAATATGTTTGTACATAGACTTTATTACTAAAATAAACATTTTAGTTATTTACTAAAAAAATTTACATCATAATCACTTAAATATTTTATTATTTAATTATTCATCATAATTATTATTGTCTTTCATTAAGTTACTCATTTAATTGAAATAATTTAATTTATTGTTTTCAATAATGTGATTTTGTTACTTTATTTTAAATAGATGATAATAAAATCTTAAAAAATTAATAATCATCCTAAAATATCGTTATTATCTACTAATATGATCATTCTCATTAATTTTATTCCAATTAAAATCAACAATATTTTATAATTATTTAAATTTTTAAGAAAAGATTAATAATAATATGGGACCAATTAAAATAAAAATGATGATTTATTTAATAAAGAAGATAAACATCTCAAAATTATTTTATTCTCTAACTATGTTTAAATTCTTAATTAAAAACATATTTTTTAAATTTATAAAATTACTAAAACAAAACAAAAATTTTTAAAAATAAATTTATAATGGTAATCATGATAAACAAAAATGATAAATGATATTTAAGAAAAAAATAATGATAATGAGAAAAAAAATTATTGATAGAAATAATAATTAAAAAAATAATAATTAAAAGTAATTTTTATAGATTTATTTAAAAAGTATCTTGGACGGAAAAATAAATTATATTATGTTTGATATTCTAAATACATGAATTATAATTTGATAAATGATTATAAGTTATTTACATGAGTTCGGTTTAATCGATTAAAACAAGTCGGTTTATTCGATTAAGTTAATCTTTTAAAAAAAAATTGCATCCAGGATTAGATATAAATGTATTTATAAGATAACAACGGTAAACTGTTCATTTTAATGTTCATCTTTTAAAACTTTCTCTCGTTGTTGTTTCAAACTTTACAAATGAGTGTTTAGTATACATGTAATGTAAATCCAGACGAAACTCATACGATAACACAAGTTTCTTATAACACAACATATAATTTAATATGTGTCTTCATTCAGTCATGTTGATACAATTATTTTTATAAACGATAAAATTCTACTGTTCATACAATTATATTTTTAAAAGGGAACAAGTTACAAATATTTTTATAAAAAATGAAACTCTAATGTTAGTACAATTGTATTTTTAAAAGAGAGTAAGTTACAAATATTTTTATATACGTGAAAAATATATTGTTGATATAATTTTTTTTATAATCGAGAATAACTTAAAAATATTTTTATAAACAATACAAATTTATTATTGATACAATTATTTATATAAACGGAACAAGTTATAAATATCATTTTCAATAAAAAAAATCTACTATGGATAACGTGTAAGGTGTATGTCAAAACGAACGCATATTAACGTATCTATGAGATGTCAGTTGTATACTGTTCATTTTAATGACCATCTCTAAAACTTTTTTTTGCTCTCATTTATATAATTGAAGTTAGATAATCGATTGTATAATTTATTATAATTACAAATCAATTTTTAAAAGTTAATATATATTATTAGTCTATCTATATTTATAACTATGAATATCAACTAATTAAAGAATTAATTTATATTTTATAGACTGTAATGTGAATCCAGATGAAATTTTTGCTGATATTTTAATTTATAAAATTAAACTAAATAAAGTAAAAGCAAACAACAATTGGTGGTGGCGCCAACCAACCAACCAGTATTACCTGTAAAAATATCAGTGTATGGGGTTACAAATTTTGACCGCATCTAACCAACCAGACACCGCCACGTCAGAAAGTCTGATGCGAAATGACACGTACATAAAGAAAATACACAAATTGCAAAAATGAATTAAAAGTGAAAGAAATAAAATAGAATCCGTTTCATTCTTCGTTAAAGGTTAACGAAGCATAGGTGGAAGTTTCTGATTTGATCGCGTGACAGCGAAAGTCAAATAAATTAGGCGCAATATTGTTCTTAGTAATTACTACTCGTGATTAACTTTTTTAGTTTTTTTTTTATAAATAGAAAATAAAAAACTGATTTGAGTAATGTCCGAGTCTGTGAGAGAGAGTGAGTTGATTTAAATCAAATTTAAAAGAAGAAGAAGAGCGAAAGAAATAGAAGAGTTGAAGAAAAAATGTGTGGGATATTCGCGTATCTGAATTACAACGTGGAAAGAGAGAGAAGTTACATCTTGCAGGTTCTTTTCAACGGTTTAAGACGGTTAGAGTATCGCGGTTACGATTCCGCCGGAATCGCCATCGATTCTTCTTCTCCACCACCTAAACCTCAATGCTCCTCCGATTCCAAATTCATTTCTTCTCCTCCTCTTGTCTTCCGCCAAGAAGGCAACATCGAGTCCCTCGTTAAATCCGTCTACAAAGGTTTAAATCCTCTTCTTCTTGATCTTTTTGATTTTTGTTTTTTGATTTTTGATTTTTGACAATGCAATTGTGTGTGCAATTGAGTGGAAACAGAAGTGGATGAAATTGAACTGAATTTGAAGGAGAGTTTCAGTATTCATGCTGGAATTGCGCACACGCGTTGGGCTACACACGGTGAGCCTGCTCCGCGGAACAGTCATCCCCAAACTTCAGGTCCTGCTAACGAATTCATGGTTGTTCACAATGGTGTTATCACTAATTATGAGGTATGCATATAATATAGCAGCGCTGGCATTATGTTCTATTGCAGGATCTCTTTTTCGTTTTTCTAGTTGAATAGTGAGATTTGGTGTGTGGATTTTAGGTTTTTCTTTTGGTTCTTGTTCAGGTTTTTCTTTTGGTTCTTGTTCAGGTTTTGAAGGCAACACTGATCCTACATGGCTTCGAGTTTAAATCCGAAACTGATACAGAAGTCATTCCCAAACTTGCCAAGTTTGTTTATGATAAAGCAAATGAAGCTGCTGGTAATTTTTGTTTCAGAATTTAGATTAAATTTATAGGATTCTGTATTGTGTGTTTCTTTTTTTTACTTGAACTAAAACCAAAATGCAGCATTGTCAAATATCAGTGGTACGGCTCTATATTGTCGCTTTCTGATACGGTATTTTAGGTCCAAGTGTTGTCAAATAGCGGCGCTATAGAACTATAGTGTAATACAATTTGAACAAGCCGCTTTTTTCCGCCATCCGCGATTGACAATACTGCTAAAGCTTGATTGAGTTCTCAAGACTCTGTCGATGTAAATGTTAGTTCTATATAGAAATTGCGAAGGAGATGGACTGAAGGTGGAGATGGACAAAGCTGCCCTTTATAGTGTTGAAATGCTTGGCTCAATTTTGTATGAATTTGTTTTTAAAATGATGATTCAGTTTGGTTCTCAATAATATGATAAGCTTGCATGTTTTGAGTTTGAATTAATATGGTTTAAGCTTTTTTTCGTTTTTTCTTATATTTGAGTTTTACATTTGATACAATTGTCTTGGGAGGTTTATAGCTCAGCTGCATTTTTCACTTCTCATGAAGAGGTGTGAATGCCATTGTTGGTGGTGTTGGCTTAGTTTTCCAATCGTCTTGCAGGTGATCAGGTTGTTACCTTCAGTCAAGTTGTGCTGGAAGTTATGAGGCATCTTGAAGGAGCCTATGCACTTATTTTCAAAAGTTCATATTATCCTAATGAATTGATTGCTTGCAAGCGTGGTAGCCCGCTGCTCCTAGGTGTTAAAGTAAGTTACATCCAATTTAGTGGTTGAGTTTCTTGGATCAGCCTAACTCTGTTTTACTTGTTTCTGTTGTAGACTTCATTTATGATGCTTCTAGTTATACAGTCTAAAGGCTTCTTTAGGAATATTGTTTTTTTTTTCTTTTTTTGGCATTCAGTGTTATGAATTATGACCCATGAAAGCAGGCCAGTTGTTGAAATGCTACCACTCTTGCCAATATATGCTGAGAGATATTATGTTTAATAATCAAATTTTATTTTATTTTATATCGATTAGTAAAGGAAAAAAGTACATAGCAGAGGGCAAAGTAAGATACCTTAGGAGTCTTTTGATCGAAAGAGGAAAAACAAGAAAAGAAAATCGTATAAGCTATGCTGGCTAGTCTCAAGTACCTTTCCAAGTCACAAAAAGAAAACCCTCCGAAATAACCATTAGTTGAGCACCATAATAAGCCTAAGAAGACCAATTTCCCACAAAAGAAGCAACATGAAAAATAAGCATCCTTAAGAATTCCAAATATTGGCATTCCTCTACGACTACAACCATAAGCATATTGTGGTCACTGCAAAAGAGCCTCCTTTGCTCTACCCAAAACAGCTTAAATCACATGAGAAGTTTTCTCGGTAACAATCCTAGGACCTAGCTAAATTTATTCCAGAGTTATCTAAGACATGTATCCTACTATATGCCAATGCGAAGGGATGGCCATGGAGTCAAACTATCAAGAGTATTAAGTAATAATGCTTCTGTATCTGTAAAATGTTTCCTGCAAACATTAAATAATTAGAAGTATTTTGAACATAACAGCTGCAAATGCAGTGCATAGAGCATGGATGAAAAAGGCAGAGCCAAGTGAAAGGAAATTAAGAAAATTAACTATTAACCCACAAGTCATTATGTAAATCACCACTTAAGCCATTCTCCTTTGCTTTCCATCAATTATTTAACAATACCATCTTTTATAGTTTTAATTTATTCTTCATGGTTAATGCATAAACTGAGTGAGGATGGTGAATTTCCGATTGACAGTGTTTAAACTAATTAGTGCTCTAATTTCAGGAATTGGAAGAAAATAAGGATAATGGCTCCGGCTTTGAGGAAAACAAATTCCTATCAAAAGATGGAAAACCCAAGGAATTGTTTTTGTCCAGTGATGCTAATGCTGTGGTTGAGCATACCAAGAAAGTGCTAGTTATTGAAGATGGTGAAGTTGTGCATATCAAGGTAGTAGATACAACAACCTCCCTTTTCAATAAAACGCTTGCAAGTTAATGTTTTTTAGTGTCTATTGGAACACTTCAAATCACTGAAATGTATAATGACCTAACTCACAAATATTTCCATAAGAGTCGTATAATTTTTGTGAAGATTGATTTCATGGTTTCTTAGTGATTCACTTCATCTTTCCCTCACATTCCTCCCTTTCTGGCATGATGAGATGATTGCTTATATCATTCATAGTTACTGTATTTGCATTTGGTTGATGGGTCTAAATGCTGGTCATTTGGTTGATGGATCTATGTACCGGTCATAATCACGTCAATTTGAACTAAACTATTGTTCTCATTTGAAAATGGTTGTTTCAGGATGGCGGGGTTTCTATTTTGAAGTATGAGAATGACATGGGAAAACCCGGCACTTTCTCCAGAGCTTCTTCGGTGCGACGTGCATTATCTGTTCTTGAAATGGAGGTTGAGCAAATAAATAAAGGACATTATGAGCATTATATGCAAAAAGAAATTCATGAGCAACCAGAGTCTCTAACAACCACAATGAGGGGGAGGCTTATACGTGGGGGGTCTAGCAAATCCAAGTCTGTTCTGTTAGGTGGACTGAAGGATCACCTCAAAACTATCAGGCGAAGTAGAAGAATAGTTTTCATTGGTTGTGGAACAAGTTATAATGCTGCTTTGGCAGCTAGACCAATCTTTGAAGAACTTTCTGGTCAGTGCTGTATGATGTCATTTTTTTTTGTAAGTTTTGCATATTTAAATTATGCTGTTAAACATTTTTTTATACATTGCATTATAGGTATTCCTGTCACTATGGAAATTGCTAGCGACTTATTGGATCGGGAGGGACCAATATACCGGGAAGATACAGCCGTTTTTGTTAGTCAATCTGGCGAAACTGCAGATACTTTACTTGCACTGCAATATGCTTTAGAAAATGGTGCATTATGTGTTGGGGTAACAAATACTGCTAGTAGTGCAATAGCAAGGAACACACATTGCGGTGTTCATATAAATGCAGGTGCTGAGATTGGTGTGGCAAGTACCAAGGTAAGTGTTGAAATTAAAGGATGTCGTTTTCTTCATTTTTTTTAATATTGTCCTATTGTTGATTTAACCAATGGCCTACTCTCACACTTATGTCTACTATAGGCATACACAAGCCAAATAGTAGTGATGGCCATGCTGTCTCTTGCAATAGGAGGCGATACTATTTCCACTAAAGCAAGAAGAGAAGCTATCATAGATGGTCTTTATGACCTGCCAAGTGAGTTTCTGTTGGTTGAGCATCAAAACTGAGTTATTGTCATTTTATGAAAACTGATTATTAGATATTTGTATTTTATCAATCGTATACTAAAAATGGTACCACAAATAGATTTTTGCATATACCAAAAATGGTACCACAAATAGATTTTTGCATATACCAAAAATGGTACCACAAATAGATTTTTGCGAATGGTAGGTTTAGTTGGGTAGGCCAGAGAAGAAATAACCGAAAATGTTTTTGGAGACATGCTTGGAAAGATGGTTTCCACCTAAATAATGCAAAGGATGTGAAATGTAAACTTAGCAAGAAGTGCACAAATACTAGTTAAGGAGTGAAAATCAAAGAACATGCCAATTCCATACCTTAAGTTGCTCGAGTCAATCATACAAAAATAACAGGGAGGTAAAGTGGGATGTTAATCATTGGATCCAAGCAGGGTGCATGAAATGAAGGAATGCTTTGAGTGTAAATTGTGATAAAAAAGCGTCAGTTGAGCTCAAAAGAAAATTTTACCGCTCAAATATAAGATTTGCAACCGGGTATGAAACTAAATTTTGGGTTGTTAGAAGTTAACAAGAAATGAAGATTAGTGTTGTTGAGATGAAAATATTGTAGTGAATAAGTAGTGGTCACGCAAGGCAAGATAGAATTATAAATTTTATCATTAGAGATTTAGAGAAAAAGTAGAGGTGGCTCCTTGCCTCATTGTAAAAAATATTGTAGAATATTACGACTCTTCTTAGATATAAACGTGTGGAGTAGACCCATGAAAATTCCAGTAAGGAGTAAGGGTAGATAGAATGAAATATATTTTTGTTAGGTAGAGGTAGAGGGGGTTAAGGAAAACTAAAAGGCGAACCGTTAAATAAATATTTAGAGTTAAATGTTCTATCTATAAATATGATTCATATTAATAAAATAAAAAATACGATTCATATCAAGGCATTATGTTTTTGTTTGATTCATGTAGTCGACCTGCTTAGTGGAAAATTGTTTTGGTTGCTGCTGTTGTTGTTCTGGGATACCACAAGTAGTAGTACAATCGAACAGCCTCTACTAAAAAGTTTGTGAGAACAACGCTCTCGCAAAGGCTTGTTGCGTGCCTTGAGTTGCTTTGAAGGAGCTACTTTGCATCCTAAACATTCTATAATAAAAGAGTATTAAAAGTTTATAAATTTGGGAAGTGTAGACAACTTTCATTTTAACCAAACTAGTTTTTTTATGATAAGTTCTTCAAAATACTGTAGAAACTAGCAAGTGCAACATGAAGTAGCTCAGAAGAAGTTGTAGAAGTAATCTAATTAAAATGTCGAATTGTAGACAAAGTCAGAGAGGTGCTGGAGCTTGATCAAGAGATGAAGGATCTAGCAAATCTATTGATTGCTGAGCAGTCTCTTCTTGTCTTTGGGAGAGGATACAACTATGCAACCGCACTGGAGGGAGCTTTGAAAGTAAAGGAAGTGGCACTTATGCATAGTGAAGGGATACTCGCGGGCGAAATGAAGCACGGTCCTTTGGCATTGGTCGATGAAAGTCTCCCAATTGTTGTTATTGCTACACGTGATGCTTGCTTCAGGTTGGTTGTATTAACTGTCGAGTAGCTCTATGACCTGAAATTAAGAGTTTCGCATTGACATCGACATCCTTATCTTTTACATTTGGCAGCAAACAGCAGTCTGTTATTCAACAACTTCATGCCCGTAGAGGTCGTCTGATAGTTTTGTGTTCAGAAGGGGATGCTGCATCTGTATGCCCTGGTAAATCTTGTAGGACAATTGAAGTACCACAGGTTGAAGATTGTCTTCAACCTGTGATTAATGTAGTTCCGTTACAGGTATCTTTTAAACCTTTTACTGTGCTTTATTTTTTCCTAATATTAGTACAGTAAACAAAGGGATAATGTTTCAATATAGTTTCAACCATTTTATTATTAGTTTGTCTTTATATTAACATATTCTCAATTGTGTTGCTAGTGATTCTATTCAATATTATTCCATGAGCTTCTTTGTATTTTCTCATTTTGAACATGTGCAAGTTTTGCAGTTCATTTCCTTGTCATCTGAAATAATAGGCTAGCTTCTTCCTTTGCATTCTTCAAAAGATTTGTGAATAGTATATATATTTCAACCTAGTATTTCTTTCTGTTGCAGTTACTGGCATATCATCTCACTGTACTGAGGGGATTTAACGTTGACCAGCCTCGGAATCTTGCTAAGAGTGTTACTACGCAGTAAAGTAGTTTGTTTACTAATGCGAGAGGAAGAAGTTCGTTGAGTTCTTTTCCATTATTCTGACAATATATTACCAAGTTCCTTTATAACACTCCATACGCCGTGACATAGATTGCGCTTGATGAACACTTGAATTCTTTATCATGGACAGAGTAGCATATTAGCATGTTGTAAATTGATAGATGTAGGCTCACTGATTTAGCATGTTGAGGTATTTGATGTATTTGTTTTATATGGTTGGAATGAGTACTCTAAATGGCATAGCCTTACATTACACGTCAATGTTTTTTGAGGCTGAAAACTACTATACACGCCCTTGAAGAAAATGAAGTTATTAATGAGCAAAAACTATACATTGGCCAAAAAAGGATCAATCTATCAATTTATTTTGAATTCGGTTGAGACTTGAGACAGACTGGAATACTCTCGATTCAGTCTTATAAGCAAATTCTTAACATCGGTACTCCTTGATTTACAATCTTTTTAACATTTTTTTCTTTATAACTATCAATCTCATGATACGTAATTAAGTTTTTTTCTATAGTGTTTAATAATCAAGTTTATAAATACTCATTCTTAATCATCACAAAAAATAGTACTTAATAACTGTAATGACATCTTACTTATCTTACGAGTAAATATAAAAGCCTCAATAATTGTATAAAAGTAGTTTATTATAATTTCTTAAATGAGCTGCTATTGCATAACTTGTAGTTATATTTACATTTTAAGTCGAATGAATAGTTTGAATACATCCTAAAAACCGTCGAATGAATTATATTGCTAGTGGAAGCTTCTATTATTTGAAGTAAGTTGATCAGTTTATCAATGATATCTGCAATCCAATATCAAGTAGGAGTAGCTAGTATCCTAGTTACCCAAGAAAGGTGTTGCTGATAGGATTGATGGTGGACAAAATTGATTGTGATAGAATTAAATTTAATAGAATTAATTTTTATAAAATTAAATTTAACATATAAAATTAGATACATTTATATAAATCCTAGTTTCTAGTAAGATTTATATAAAATTAGATTGAACAATACATTTCAGTGTAAAAATCAAGTTTAAACTCAAAAATTATAAATCCTAGTTTCTAGTAAGATCAATTTTATACTCTTCCAAGAGCCATACCCTTAGTTTTTCCCTCCATAACACTACTACCATGCAATATTTGGTCCCACACGCCATTTAGCTCAATGAATGTTCAATGTGTTATCATTACGCATTTTAGCCAAAAAGATACTATTAAGCATAGATCTGATCATTTCAGCTAAGGTGGACAAAATATCTTAGATGCCAAAATATTCGACTCAAATTGATTACAGTTGGATTACGCGTGTATCAATGTCATAATTCATGCCCCCCACAGCTCATGCAGAAGTTAGCATCATTCACAATTTAGGTATTGAATTCACACTTATAACTTAAATAAAATTAAAAACGTTGTTTTAACATATACACTACAAAATGTCAAATCATTGAAACAACCAAGAAAAGAAAATTTTACTCAATAAGCTTTTAGGAATTGTAACCCACACTAAAAAAATTGTAGCTTTTTTGACTGAGGTTAGTTTTCAGTGAAAACATCCTTTGTCCTGTCATCCATAATCATTCAAACTGTATTTGCCAACTACAAAAATTTCCATGTTCAATCTACACAAAAATCTTGTTCTGTGTAGGACCATGACAGAATATAATGCAGATAAATAGAATACAATAGGGAACAACAAACAAATTTTAAACAGTACCTAACACATTATTAGAGAAAACTGCCCCACTGAATTGAACCAACAAGCAAAAATTGAAAAATATAGGCAAAGCGGACTATCTCACATAAAAGAACAAAGTGTAGGGTACTTACTTACTACTCACAATATAGGGAATCAAAATTAGTTACAGTACAAGAAACACCAACACATTACCCTAAATTTTATTAAAATAGAGTGGAATCTACACAAAACTTGTGTGTAGAAATGACAATACCAGAATACAAATTACAAAACCTTAGGAGTACTACTATATAGAACATTATTAGCAAAACCAACCTTATCCAACATCCCTGACTAGCACAAATTTTGCCAAAACCATATAGGCCATTGTTGTTGACCACCAAAATTGTCATCCTTTGTCCCTTGACAGAGGAGATTGATTCCAATCCAAGCAGAAAAAGAAAAAGACCGTGACTGTACACAAACACCATCACAAGACCAACCACAAGCACAGCTAAACTGATTGATCTATTTGAAACGCGCCGACATCCTTATCTTCTACCAAACTGCCCTCAACACATCATCATTATCAGCATTAACCTGAATAAATCAAACACCAAATTAATTAAAAAAATCCAAACATAAATCTATTTACATTCAACTCTCTTTAGGTCAGAATCAATCTGCAGAATCAATGCATATTCAGATAGCAAAGTTTTAAGCCACTAGAATCAGCTAGTGACAACCGACAAAGTCCATGACTTGTTCACACGAGATCATACCTTGAAACCTCACTCCAATTATCAACACTATTGTCCCATGAAAAAAACTACATAGATACATAATTTAAATTTCTGTCATTCATGTATCATAACATGGACTATATAACAGATTTTACATTTTTGGCATAAAAAACCCTAAATTTAATGTACTCTACCATAAATTTCACAACTTTAAGACACCCAAATGACAAAAATCAAGAAATTCAAGTACGCAGCCAAAAAAAAATCCCAACTTTAAGATACCCAGTTAACAAAAATCATGAATTACAAGTACCCAGTCCAAAAAAATCATAACTTTAAATACCCAGATATTAAAAAACCCTAATTTGACATACCCATCTAAAAAACATGAATTTTAGATGCGAAAAAGAGGAAAAAAAATACATGGGAGATGAAAAAACCTGAGGGTTACAATCAGGAGGATCTTCAAAGAGGGACAAAGAGAATTGTTTATCAGCAACACCAACATCGAAGTGAATGAGACCAGAGCTAGGTAGATCAACACGAATGCCCTTAACAGGGAACCATAGGAAGAGTTCCTGAGCAGTCATACCAGATAATTCCCCGATCTTACCATAATTTAGGGTACCCTTAATGTTCGGATCATAGTGAACCTCGTTTTCAAACTTTGCATTACACGGTTCTTCCATCCAAACCTGAAATTCTCCACTGGTACCATTGATCTGATACCGAGTTATTCCTTTTGGTAGAAGCCCTACAGGAAGACCCTTTGCCCTTAATTCATCGTATATAGTTGTTGAATTTGAACCATTTACAACACTACAATACCATGAAACAATTACAAGAAGGAGAAGAAGATGAATATATGGCAAAATTGAAACCCCACCAGCCATAGCCATAGATGATGATTGAGGCTGAGAGAGAAGGAGAGAAAGGAATCGCCTAAGATTTTGGAGTTGGGAATCCTCTGCTTTCCCTTTCCTTAATTACTCCAAAGGTAAGTGAAAATATTAAATTTGCTATTGTTTTATTTTGTTTTTTTTGTTATTCTGTTTTTTATTTTGTTATTTTGTTTGTTTGTTACTTTGTTATGTTCTGTTTTTTAAGTTTTAACACAATTGTTTGTTCTTTTTCTCAAAATATATGCTTATTCTTTTTCAATCTTTTATTTTAAAATTAAAATTTAGTGTACTCAATATTAAACATGTTTAATGTCATCATCTAAATAAATATTAGTTGAATTAAATAATAAATATCAAAAAATTAATCTTACTTATTTATTTATTTTTATAAAAAAGTGAATTAGTTTTTTGTTTAAATAGAGGTTTTTTTTAATCTGTAGTTAATAAAATTGTTAATTATTAATGATATGAAAAATAATATAAAAGAGTTTTGAAATATCGTTGTAAAAGTTCACCACAAATGACATGTTATCTCCAACACTAAAAAATATTGAGATGATCATAGTTGACAAAGAGGTGATTTCATGATACTTCCTAACATTTTACATTGTTTATTAAGTTGTGTTTCATATTTTGCTATTGCTTTGTTTTTTCGTTTGATGATATTATGTTTATGTTCAAATAATTATGGTATTACATTTTAATGTTATTTCTTCAATAACCAATTTAATATATAATCTATTTACTATTATATAATCTATTTTTTGGTTTATTGATATCACAACTTATTTGTTCTGAAGAAGATTCGTAAGGATTTGTTTATTATTTCTGTATGAGTATGTTAATTTACAAGTCTAATTAATGTTGTTGAACATCTTTCTTACCATTATACCTTAACTTCATTATTTACTTTTTTTTTTTTACAGGATACTATCATGTGGTTGTTCCCGCATTGTATACCTAGATTTTTGATTCCCAATTAGATGTTAATGACATATGCACAATTTCAAACTTTCAAGTTCAGCTTAATGATGTTGTCTTTAAATTTCCAACTACAAGTATGTCTTGAAATTTACTAGTGGAACCACGGTTGGTGATAGAAATTGATCTTACCGGTTGATCAGAACTTGAGATGGATCGATAGACGACGTCTGCTAAGCTGGAATCAGTGAGGAGGGGGGTGTATCTGCAAGACACTCTGACGCCCAAGTTAGAAAGAGTGCAAAGAGATACATGAAAGAGATTAGGGTTTCTAGAGTGAATATTGGATATCTGACCCTCACAAGTGTGAAGGTTTATATAGTGCCCCCGAAGCTTGGCCATTGGTTCCTATTTTTGAGCCTAGATATTAGGTTCCTAAAAAATAGTTAACTGCAAAGAATTGGTCAAGACAGGTAGAGATGCTCAAAACTAGTTGTTATGTCGAGCAGAGGTGCTCATGAGAAAAGATGACTCTGGCCTTTTCTGGGTGGTCCTCCTCGTGTGACCAGCAAGTCGAGGACCAACCCATCTGAGCGATGAGATGTGATTGCATAAACCCTGGTGGTTTAGTCGGTCAGGGCTTCTCTAGTGAGAGGGTAGATGGGATAAAATATTCTTTATCCCTCATGGTTTATTGGGTCAAAGTTATTTGATTATCCTACATGCAGAAGCGGATTGGGCCCTACTTAGCCATTGGGCCAGTCCAGAACATGAGCCCTCCCCCCCCCCAAGTTGTTGCTGCTAGGCATATGAGTGATGACTTAGAGTCAGCTCGTGTGTCGAGGAGGTGATAATGCTTTTGGTGCCCGTCGTAAAAGACGATGACGCTTCAGGTTGTACCCGGGGACAGGTATGTTTGGGGAGCCTAAATGTGTTCTCGTGTGTTCAGTGTACTGAGAGCTCAATGGTTGATGGGAGTGAGAGGGTCACGTGCCATGCCTGCCTCGAGCCATATGTTGTCATTAAGGTGAAATGATGGCAGCTTATGGACTAGGGCATAATGATGGCGGCCCCTAGGCTTCCTTAGGCGCGTGCCCGCTCACGTACCAATAATGCTACCTATAAATAGGAGAAAGGAAGCTTCATTTGCATTTTTTTGCTTGTTATCTTCTGCTCGTTCCACTTAGTTCTACAGAGCACCATCGTCCGACACCGTCGAAGTTTCTACTCACTCACTGCTTATCTTCCCCGACCATGTAAGGTCCATTTTTTTGGATTCCGTCTCTATTTTAGGCTAGTTTTTTTCTTCTGATTTCGCCTTTACAGATGTATGTGGTTAGGATTAACATAGTTGATGGGGGGAATTTTCAGGCAGTTTTTTGGTATCTGACGGTGGTTTTACCATATGAGAATATCAACTCTGCCGTGAATTTGTTAGAGAAATTTAGGGATCTTGACGTTTTTGGGCCGGTAACAGCGAGTTGTGACGAGTTTCCCGACGAGTTTGGGTCGTTCTCTGGGTTTCTTCCATGAACTGCATGAGTTTCTGATGGATCTTCATGTGAAATTCAAAACCCAGTCGTCGGGGAGATTGCTCCTCGTGTGGGTTAGAGTTCGGCCTGGTAGACAGGCACCTAACATGTTGGGAGGGAATCGTCCTTGTATATGTGTTTCGCTGTTTAAGTAAGGGGTCTGGTTGAGACAGGGTCCTCGTGCCTTTGTGCGTCTTTTAACTTGAGTAGCAGTGGAAGAGTGGATTTGATTTGATGTCGAATTCACTCATGTCCTCTACTTTTTAGGTAAAATGGCTAGCAGCGCCGAGGATGAGATTATATGCGAACAAAGTTCTACGAACAAAATTCATCTGATCAGAACTTATTTGAAGAGAGAACATCTGGATAAAATGATTTTGAGCACACCGCATCGGAGCAAAGTGCATCTAAGCAGGGTGTGCCTGAGGGTTCTAAGAGAATCGTACCCGAGGGGATGGACTGGATCGCATCGGGTCCTTGGGAGATTGTTTCATATTTTACCAAGCATCCGGAAGAGGCATTCACAGTCGTGGCCAAAGGGATGGAACAACCGATTTCCGATGAGGATTGGGTCATCTTCGTCCCTGAGAAGCGTAACAGGATCTGCACGAAGTATGATGTCAACCAGTTCCCCATGTATAAGATTTTCTTTAGAGATCTGGGGAACCGGCTGCCTTTTGTTGACTTTCAGGTGGCTGTCTTTGATCACCTTCGTCTTACTCCTTTGAAGCTTCATCCTAATTAGATATCTTTTCTACGGGCATTCAAAATTGTGTGTGAATATTTGAATATTGGGGCCACCGTCTCCCTATTTTTCTACTGCTTTCATCTCTAGCGGGGAGTCATTGACGGATGATTCAGACGAGTTTCCCTGAAATAATCAAGCAAAATGTTTAAGTCTTACCTCGAGTCTGTTCGATAATTCAAGGATAGGTACCTTCTGGTCCAACCTGTGTTAGAGAAGGCGATCCTTAAAGTGTTTATCAGTGTCCTAAAGCATGGTCTAGACGGGCAACCTGTGTTGACCGAGGAGGGTGAGGTGACGAGGGAGTTCGTGCAAAGGTTCCACTTTCACTGGGACATAGGGTACTTCGCTCGTGGCACTAACCATTATATAGTGAAGATGTGCCAGCTGAACACTGACGATCAGGCCAACTATGACCAATTATTAGCCTTTATCGAGGAAATACCCCCGGTTTAGCATGTGAGCAAGGGGGAAGGCCCATTATTGACGGGGATGGGAAGCCCGTGTTCGAGCATGGACTCATTAATTTTAAGGAGCTCCTTGAGTGTGGTGACCTTTTGAAGTATTTAGGTAGTTGTCTCGTATTTGACTTTCCCTTATTTTAATATTCATGTTTTGCTAACTCGTGCTTGTTTTATTGCAGAGAAAATGTCTACTGCTTAGGACCGCTTGATTAAGAATGTTGTTGCCAAGGCCAAGAAAACGCAGAAGATGGTCTCCAAGAGCCTCCTGGGTGGCGATGGAGCAGGTGCGCCTCCGATTGGATCAGGGACCTCTTCGTCTAGTTCAGCTATCATGCAATTTTCTCATCTGCGAGTGAGCTCAAGGGTCAAGAGACCTCGTTCCGATGACCTGGTAGATCTGACTAGAGAGAAAAGGCAAAGAATGATTCATGTTGCCCCCTGCTTCCACGACAGGACTTTCTTCGAAGGCTCTTCTTTGGGGGTCCATAAGGCAGAATACCTGGCATACGGGGAGATGGATTTCCCGAGTAAGAGGACCTTGCTAGCCCAGGACGCTACTGCCTTGATGAGGATCCTTGGTGTAACAGTGATTCATACCGAGGAAGGGAGTTCCGAGGAGCTGGAATTGAGGAAGATCTGAGTTTCCTATAACGCTCTTGAGGCAAAGTTTAAAAAGTTGAAGACTGATAATGAGGAGCTGGTAAAGGCGAAGAAGGTCTTGACCGAGGATAAGGATGCCTGCACAGTTGAGAAGAAAGCTCTCGAGGAGGAGGCAGACAAGCTCAAGTCTACCATGGCCCCGATGAGGAGGAGCTTGACGACATTAAGGGGTTGACAACCAGGGCCCAGTTGGTCGCTCGTATTCAACAGGCCGACGATGATGCTCTCATGGCTGTTGAGGAGGGTTTTAAGATTGCATTGGCTCAGATCAGACTTATGAATTTGAGTGTTAATTTCGTCTTGATGGGGATTGGTTTCCTCTATAGTGTGGTGGATGGTCGTATGGTTGTCCCTTATTTCCTCAAGGTGGCGGACAGGCATGTGACATACTATCTCCAGTCTCCTGGGGAGCCCATTAGAGAGGTACAGTCGCAATTCGATTCTGGAGTGCGTCCCAGCCTAAAGAGTAGCCTCAGCTTGACAGTTGATTGGTGTCTATTACTCCTTTGTTCGGCCTGCATTTTGTTTGATATTTGTAATTTGTTTTGGGGATTTTTTTTTGTTTTGATGTAACACCCAGACAACTTCGGTCCTTGTGGCCGTTACTTAATATTTTAATCTTGGTGGTCGTTTTCTTTAATCTGCACTATTTAAGTATTTACTTTTGTTTACGTA